CCCCTGTCGCATGCAGGCCCTACGAAGTGCTGGTCGGTGGTCTCTGATTGCCGTCAGCAACACCAAGGGCGCCGAGGTGTCCAACAATGTGGAGATATCCTCAGAGTACACTGAGTGCTCCATCGTGCAGGCCTACGTTGAGGCCATTAAGAACGCAGAGCACTTCATCTACATTGAAAACCAGTTCTACATTAGTTGGTTGGAGGCGGAGAACCTGCATGTGGATGAGGAGACGGAGTACGCGATGCTGGATACGATGGAGGGCTCCGCGGGCTTGCGCAGGCAGTCATGTGTGGTGCAGAATCCTATTACACAGGCCATTTACGAGAGAATACTGAGAGCACACAGGTTAGGGCACTTAAAGGCCATTTGGCTTGCTTTTTTACCTTGAACTATGGAGATATCTGAAAGTTTCTAGGATTGTGTGGCGTCGCAATTGGTAGATGCACTCTGAGCACTACATGTTAGATGTTTAGCCTGACTAAATGCTAGCAACATTTGAGGCTTTCCTGAGGCTTCGTGCATGCCAAAATGTCTTTGTGTGTTTGCTCTGAACGCCTTCAGTGTAATATGCCTTCGCGGTGGTTATGCCCACACGCAGTGATCTTTGACCGGACACGCTTACGCAAGTGTCAACCGGTCGCAGTTCCACAAGGACCCACTTAGGTTCGCCATGACAGGTGACCTTATCTCAATCGCCCAATGATGCCACAAGCGAACACGCTTGACAATCACTTAGGAGCCACTGTCAGATCTCAGACAGTGAGTTTCAACAGGAACTGCGAGGACATCACAAGTCCGCTTCCGATTGCCGGACTGGCCCCGAGCCGGGACAAAGAGCACGCTGGAGATCAACCAGCAGCAACTTCCACCCAAGAAAGCAACTCGGAGTTTTGCACGCACTAAAACCTCCTAGGGGTGGATTCCAAATATACGTCCTTCTTATTGTGTCCTTCCTTAGGGATTCCAAGGGCGTAATTAGACGGAAACACACGTTAGATGTCATCTTTAAAACACTACAATCCTCAAATCTAATCCCAAGTTGTAGCTGCAAGACCGAGCGCACCAGAATGAGGGCTTTATTCCGCTCAGAAGCCTAAGTTACTGTCCTAGACAGAAGTGGCAACTGGCGAAACCAGAGTTAGTGTTGACTGCGGCCGGTCAGGCCTGTGAGACTGAGAGAGAGAGGGAGAAAACAAAATATGGCAGCTGCTTTCATGTTATTGGGGGGGGGGCAATTTCACGTGGTTTACGACTGATTTGTTGCATTGCCCGAGGTAGTGTCGTGTATTTTGGCCCCTGATTCATCGACCGAGGGCTGGTGTTTTCAAGTGGCTCTTTGGCAGCCGTGACTATTGCGACGCGCGTGTGTACGCGTGGGGAAGTTGGTCAAGGGTTTTCGAGTTAGAGAGTCGAAAAACGCCTCCCCCGCTGCGAAGTTGTCTGACATTAGGGCGGCGGGCATCAAATACGGAAGTCAGACAGCATTGTTGGCTATCCGCCACAGTGTTCGACATCAGATGTTTGATCTCAATCCACTGGCCAACCCGGGGCCGCGACCTTGGTAAAAAAAAAACGTGTGCGTCCAAAATATCTAGCCGATATAAATACATTCTTGTCACAGCAGGCTTAATTAAAATGTACTGTTTGACGAAGAAAACACCAACGAAAAAATGCAGACGTCAGATGAGAGCTCCAGCTGTTATAACCTTGGGTGTGCCTGCGTCGACACTGGTTATATCCCACAGTTACATGTTAGGAAGAGAAGGAAGAAAAGGATAGGAGGTAATAGTTTACCGTCACTAGTCCTGCTTGTACATCAGCCTTGTCTTCT